ACATTTTTGTAATATTTTTAATGAAACATTTCAATAAAGATCCTCTGCATAAGCATTTGCATATAAAAGTGATTGCATGTAGGAAAAGGCCTTTGCATTTGCAGGAAAGGAGTACACGGGTTTTTTTATGGCAGAAAACACTGCACTCTTAAAAGACAACTGTTCAGTGAGGTGACAATAAGTCAAATGGGACTAAAAGCTATTTCACATTATGTTCACCGTAGCAATAATTCAAGCATGAATCAGCAGATTTCAAACTTCAGTTTTAACTGTGTCACATGGGCCTAAACTTAAAAAAAAAACTTATGAGCTGAGAATCCTAATAGCCTACCCTAAAATATTCCCATACAATGTACGACAGAACTATATGACTAGAACGAATGCAGTCATTATGAACAAACGTATAAAATATGTACTATGTTGCTCAACCTTTAAATCGTTCTATTAATGTGTCATTTAAAGAGTGTCTCTTAAACAATGCCAGGCGTTTGTTTTCCTCAGCCTTGAATGACAGTATTATTCTCTGCTAGTAATGACAGGTAAGCGTTTGTGACATTACATCCCCCTCTGATTGCGGTTGCGCCCCTTATGTCTGTCGCTTCGCTTTTACTCCGAGTCTCCGTCGCACCTGTGACACTTGTCACCGCCTCGGCCTGCTGCGCAAAATACGTCCGCAATCTCCTACAGTCATTTGCGTTGCATCAAGCAGACGCCGATACCGCTATCGGACTCAGCAATGGGACACGTTTGGCTAAATTATGTTCTTCTACTGACGACTCACTACATTTGGGAACCAAAAAAATCATATGAAGTTTGAGAGATGTCCTGTGAAGGTACTGAATAGTTTTATTTACATTAAGCAATCTCATGTCTATGGTGTAAAAAGAAATCATGTTTTCCCATCTTCAAAGACTTTTATCGTACAGACATTGGGATAGCCTACCAGCGGGGAATAACTGGGAATAAGACATAGTCTACGAAAACATTCACTTCTTGCTTTCAGAAACACTAGGCCTATTGATTTTACGTGCAGGTGGGCGTGAATCCCAAGCCCTGTCTTGATATCACGATCTGTGACTAAGACCCAGTCAGCACAGACTAGACTTAAAGCCATTAATTTTCACTTGCATCCTTTATTTTACCGTTTCGTTCAGTAATTTCTAACCAAGCACTGTTCTGAATGTTAACGACAGTATTTTTTTTTACAACATACTGGAACATTTAGTAAATCATTTGCTTTAAGGAAAGCCGGGGAATAAACAGAGCCGCGTTTAATGTGCGTTTATATTCATTTTTCTTTGTCTGGTAAGTGCACTGGGTGTAAACGCTCGCGGTGCTGCCTAAAATCTACATAAAATCCATTCTGACTGCCTCCGTGTGCATCCATTATGTCCCATCTATGTCAAAGCAATCAATCCCTCTCCCAAGCGAGGGAGACCCAACTGAACAGATGGCAAGTTATCTCAAGGTCGGATTAGTTTCACTTTGTCACCCCTGACTCATAACCTCGATCCCTCCGTGGGCGCCACACTGCCCTCAGTACTGCAGGAATGCCGCAGATCCCCAGCGCTGACTAAGAGAGTAAAGGGGAGGCACTGTTTGGTCAAAATATTGACATCGGGGACCCTGCCTCCTTGCAAAGCCTTTTCTCAAACCTCAAGGGCCACAAACTCATTTGTTCTGTAAATATCGAGTACTTAAGCCAGCAGCCCCGGGCATGACAGCACAATTATAACATGCAAACATTGCCACTGCTATCAGTTACCGAGGCACGCTAATTTGCAGATTTGCTACCAGGACAGATATCGTAGTTCCGGGGAGGGGACTGTTAATGGAGAAGTACAAAGAAGTAAAACCTGCAGTGTTCAGTGTATGTGTGGATGTGCACAAAGGGGAACACCAAAATCGTTCATCCCTAGTAGCATATGGGCGTCTTTAGGTCCTATCATTCGCGGCTTACCCCCGATGCCAATCTTCCTCAAGCCGCAGGTAAATCTGGAAATAGCGCGTAACGTGGATGTCCAGCTGAACCTTTGTGGCAATCACGTGGTTCCGGTGTCCGTTTGTGTGTGTATATTCTCACTTTCCACATATTTTTTTTTTCTGCTGTCGTGGTTGTCACCAAAATTCCACTTATTTTTCAGTAAAGTGCAATATACGTCACCAGTGGTAGACAAACAGTGGGACGGTCTCAAATTATCCGCAGCAGAGAGCGCAGTGAGGTAGACGGTGATGACCATTAAACTCACATATAGCCTACTAGCAGTCCTCCATTAACGAGCAGGGAAATTGCACGCTTGTTAGAAATAGCACCACGGAGTCATCCCTATCAACTACAAGAGCTACTTACAAAAACCTCATCTGAATAAATCATTGAAATCAGCCTTGCCGAGGCCATTAACTGTTTGCGCTTGTACCCACAAGAAAACACAAGAATCATTAAACCAGGGCTGCCAACTCTCACGCATCTGGCGTGACACTCACGCAAGAAATCTTACAGCATATCTATATTATTCCATTATAAAGTTAAAATTAGCTACAATTAGCTAGGCAATAAAACTGTGTCATACATATAACTGTGTGCAATCAGAGCAGGGATGTAATCTCACTCCAGCCAGCTGACCAAAGTTGGCAGCCCTGTTAAACTGACAGGCAATTTACCATTTTTGCTACCATATTGCCCCTATTGAGCAACATGGCAAATATTATCATATAGGTTTAAATAAATCAAGTATGTACCAAGTTTCATGGATTTTTATGTTTTGTTATTTATTTATAGCTTAAATACTGCAACATATTGGCCTAAAATGATAGAAACCATTTGCCAAGCTCAACTGATACTCAGAGTTTGATTTAAAATATTTTAAAGCATAAATGTTCAAAGAAACACTGTGTTTTATATTTGTGTGAATTTGCAGAAAAGACGTAGAACATAACTCATCGCAGTGGCCTCCAAATTGATCACACAAGCTCATTTATTTACAATGCCTGAAATTTCTTTCTCCACCTAATAAATTAATGTAACCTTACTGCATATTAGGATGTTGTTATTTTCCAAAACTAAGTCTAAGCTTCTAACAACAGATGCACAGGCCTGCAGTAAAAGTCTAAGTGGCCAACGGTGAACAGGATTTTTGTAGTGACAAATACAGTCACTAGGGGTCGTTGTTGACAAAGCTTAGACTGTAGTCTGTAATCAGACTAATTTACTCTGAAGCAAACTTGCACCATTATTTTACACCTTTTAACTGAGGAAAATGCATCTTAAGTGTGATATTGTGGATCCCAGGCTCCCAATCCTAATCCTTACAGGGTGCTGCTTTTTGTAGATTTTCCAGATCTACCATTAATGCTAATTTATTCATGTAAGAGAAATTGAAGATTGGTATTCCTAGTTACTGAGGAAACCTAAATACCATGCATGTCAACTTTTAATAGAGTAAGACAATCTCAGATATTTTGAGGACTAAACTACGTGCACATTTTTCTGTGTGTTTCTGCAAATCTCATCACTGGAGTAGCTGGCAGCAGTGCAGAGACAGCTGGATATCCTGCTTTTTCACTGCACCTGCAGTCTGCACCAATCTTCTAAGTGTTTATCCTGGCCAGGATTGCGGGGCCCTGCTTTTAAAAATTGTCACCTTCTTACCCAAATAAAAGCAAATATCTGTTGCCAGTTTCAAATGTTTGAAATACCTGTACACTGGACCTCTGCCAGGGTCAACTATCAAATTCATAGATAGTTGTGATTGTTCAGAAACAATGACTTAGTCTTTGACGTGCCTTGACGTTAGTTTATACTTATGGAGAGCAGCCAATTGTACCACAATATCTTAAAGCCCATTTTTTTATCAGGGTACACATCAGTTGCCAAAAAATAGTATTTCAAAAGGATTTGTGGGCTCATTTCCAACACATCTAGTTATCATATACAGGTACTTATTTTGCAAAGTCTGTCATTCTTGTGGGGAAACCCAGGGGGTGGGAGACTGTTCCTAGGAGTGTAGATAAAGGAAGCCTGGTTTTGCTTTGAATCTTAGGCGAGCAGCTGTGCAGAAAAACAGAAGCCATCCCACAGAGCAAGCACTTCCCCAAAGCGCAGGCTATGAGGAAACCTACCTGATTCATGTTATCAGTCTTCAATCTCGATCCTCCATTACAAACCATCTTTGCTTTCCATCTTCTCACGACTATCATTAATAATCACATACGGGATTCTGGAAGCAACAAGCAGATGCAGTGACTAGATTGTTTGGTATCACTTGCTGCATTTTGGGAGGAAGGAACCAGGTGACCTACCCATACCAAACGCCTCACTGGCATCATCTGCCAGAATTACATAAGGCTGAGGTGTGTCAGTGTTTATACTATCAGAAAATATTTATCTGGGAAGCATCTAAAAATCTCCAAGTAGGATGGATAAAAAAATTCTTAGTAAAAATGTAATTGGTTAAAATTATTCCAAGCACCCGAGCACTTTGGCTTGGAAGTTTAAATAAATCCAACTAAATGAGGGTTTCTTAATGTGCAGCCCATCAGAAGCCAATGCGAGATGAAACTGATGCATCATAATTAGCACTCATGGTACATTTAAATGTGAAAATCATTTGGCTACTTGCTTTTATCTGATACATCATTTTAAAATTACTGGTTAAATTGTACAGTTTTTCATTCATGTAAATAATCACATTTGAATGCTAAATATTTGGTTTTGGGGTTTATTTCATGCATGAATTTTAACACTGCAAACCAGAGTAGGCTCTCTTATCCACGAAGGGGCAGTGTGTATACAGGTCCTTGAGAACCCTTAGGTCAGCTGTTCAAACCCAGGTGTGGGGACTCTTCAGCCAAGCAGTACTCTAATGAGTAATCCAATTAGGGAGTTGCAGCAAAAACCCACATACATGGTGACCCTTTCTGGATAAGACTGCCTGCCTCTGCTGTAGACAATCACTTATAATTGTACAGAGATTGAAAAGTAAACACATAGGACATAGCGCTAAAAGCAAATGTTTCAATTTATTTATTTACACAGCCAAGTACACATATACAAGTGATGACTAAACCCTAGCCTATCCCAGCTGTCCAGCTTTAATGTGGAGATTCAGCTTCTTGCAGTGACTTCCTCAGCCACCCCTGGAAGATGGAAGAAGAAAATAAATCTCATTTAAACCCTGCTGGCACATACTGGAACCTACTTTATATAATGTTAAAACTAAGAAACTGGCGCTGCGCAAAAAGCTTTATCATTCCCAACTTTAACTTGCTAGGCCTTACAGCCACTAGAAATTGCTTATTTTGTCCCATAATTGACTCCCTTTTCACATTACAGCTTTATCTGCCCACTGATGCCACTGTCAGGGGCTCTGAGCAAACTGCTCCATGAAGGATCTGCTGTGAAACCAGGGAGGCAAAAATCTAATATTTTCAGGTGACCATACATGCATAGGATGATAGGAAAAAGTGTGTGTGTGTGTGTGACACACACACACACACACACACACACACACACACACACACACACACACACACACACCACTGGACGTAAGCTACAAAACTTAATTTCCAAACAAAATTTAAACAATGTAACTGAACATAACATAAATCTGTATTAGACATCAAAGTACACCCTCGACAAAGGCAGTAGTGTTTTCAACTAAATGCACATCTAGAAACTTGGAATGGATGAGGTTCCCAACTTACACAATGATGTTGTTAATGGGAATGTGGATCAGCTTGACAAAGAAGCCAATGAAGCCCATGATGGCAAACCCAATTGCCGTAGCCATGGCGATCTTCTGAAATTCTAAAGAAATTAATAAACAGTGAGAATGGGGAAGGCTGTACGTCAGTATGGGCCAGGGTACAATGAAATGCATTTAGTTTTTTCAAACACCAGAAGACGTACCTTTTCTGTCTGGTTTGGTGCATCTCTTCACTAGTCTTATCGAGTCCTTCACAAACTGACGACTGGGTTCTACAAACTGCATTACTTGATCCATGGTGATCGCGAAGGCTCTGGCTATGAAAAAAAAGAATCAGAATAAAGATCAAATATTAAAAACGAAGATCACTACTACTAACTACATTTGACCATACGACTAAATCTTATCCACTGTGCCTCATCCCCAACAACCTTCTCCACCAGCAAACAAATCAAATTGTGGTTAAATGTACGTTGTATTGTAAGAGCTGACATTTTAGTGTCGTTGATGTGGGCATTTAACTTACACTACGCCACCTCACATACACTACCCGCAAAGGTTTGTTATTCATCCCCTGCTCAGTAGTATTTCCCTTATTAACCGTAGATCCACATTATTAGTTGCTTCGTTATAAGTGGGCCAAATTTTAAATAGTTCTAAATCTCAACTGCCACGATCTGAGACTACAAGCCACAATCGCTACTTGGGAAACGGGGATTTACAGGCAAATTTACGGTGCCCGATTAGCGTGTTCCGCAGATCAGCTAGCATACCGCGAGATACATCACGACATATTTTTACATACAAAACTTAAAGTGCCTTACCTCTGCGAATAAATGAGCTTCTTTATAATACTTCGGGAGCACTCTAACCGATTTGGTCAGCTAACTTTGCTAGAATAGAGCCACGTACGTAGCAAGTTGCCTTTTCAACGGAAAGATGACGTTTCCTTACAGTGCGCATGCGCGTCACTCTCTAACACCGGAAGTCCTTTTTGTAACACGTAAGCAGTGGGCTGAGGAAAGTCGCACGTTTCTTCGATTCTGACCCCAGATCAGTTCAGTTCGCTTCATTGGATTCTGAATTTTAATTGTGAATCAATTTAAGAAAACAGACAATGGTAATAATAGCGTAGGATGATCGGACAGGTGGTCGGGATAGGAGATGTAGGACAGAGCAGGACTGGTTTCGGTGAGATGGTCTATGTAGTAGGATGGAGGTGCTTTTAGTGCAGGCATAACAGGTCAGTCGATGTCAGAGAGTACGCTGTGCACATCAGACTACCTAGCTGAAATACCCACCGAAGCTGGGTTCGAACCGGCGACCCTCTGATTACAGGCACACAGGCTTAGTCCACTGAGCCACCCGCTGCTGTTGGTAAGATGGGTGAGATCGGTAGACACCTTCCTACCTGATCTGGTAACTCATTATAGCTGAATTAGACTAGGTGGGTCTTAGACATATATGGACAGAGGCTATAGCGCTACCGTTTGACCGATCGACACGAAATTTGGAGGGTCTCTCTGCGGTACAGCCCTTCATCAGAATTAGATATTTGGTAATGATTGGCTGAAGTGTGCCTGAGATATAGCTGTCTGATTCAAATGGGTGAGGCACCAGTACAGTCAGGGTGTGGTTGGTGGCCATACCTTACCAAAAGTTTTTTTTTTTTTCTAAATCTTTAAAAGGACTATCTCCTGATTTGAACGACACCAGATTTATGTAGGTTTGGTGAAAATCCTAGGAGGTTAACGGAAAAAAGCTGTTTTCAGACAAATATAAATCATGGAAAAATGCAAAGATGAAGAACCAAGTTCTATATGTTACTGGATTTGGCACGACATAGTGAATTGGACTGGCAATAAAATTTAAGTTTAGGACAAGTAGCACAGGAGATATCGACCAAAACATGTTGTGGGGCACGACGGCGCCCCCCTCTGACTGACAGGGATGGGTCGGAGGGCCTGAGTAGTGGGTAGGAATTGACATCTTGCTGCCAAATTTGGTAAGTCTAGATCTTACGGTTTAGGCTGGGCATTCAGTTTTAAGGAAGAAAAAAAAGAAAAGAAAATCCTAACAAAAACAATAAGGTTCCATAGCACTACGTGCTTTGGACCCTTAAAAATAATAATAATCCTAACAAAAACAATAAGGTTCCATAGCACTACGTGCTTTGGACCCTTAATTACTACTATACCTATTATACTTTTCCTTTTATTCCATCCATCCATTTCCCAAAACTGCTTGCCCTGTGTAGGGTTCCATTGTTGCAGTTTGGATGTCTGAGTTCACTTGAAAATGTTCTAAGGGAAATATGCACTTTAGCAGGAAAACAAAGGAAAATCAATGGTCTTATACTAATAAATAATCCCATAGTTGTGTCCAGGGATGCCATAAGGGGGGGAGAGTTAGGATGTTTCCAATGGTCCCTAAAAAATTTGGAAAACAACTGGATTGACCTAGACTGAGGGGCCCAATATCTTGAGCAACCCCTGGTTGTGTCATGCAGAATATCCCTGGTGACCTTATGGCAGCAAAGTAAGCAGAACTGACCTTTGGCTGTGAGTGTCACATCCAAGCAGTCGGTGGATAATGACAGTCAAAACACTTACAATACTACTCTGTGAGGCCTAGCATAGTGGTTGATTACAGTGCAATGTATGTTACTTATCATACAGTATAAACACAGAAGGATGAAATGCAGAAATGCGAACACACATTTTTACTGTAATAACCAATTTTACTGAAGGCAATGCAGTACAGCAGTGCCTCATGAATCGGGGGATGACATCTAGTGATGTTCAAAAAGAATGGAAAACATTAAGTGCAGGTGTGAAGTGCACAGCTAGGACAGTTTGTATGAGGCTTTCAGTCGCAGAGCTGATGTCCCATAAAGCAACTAGCATTAGTGAAAAGCAGGGAACAGCCAGGCTGGATTTTACAAAAAAAAAATGTATACTTTATACCGATGCACATCCATAAATTGAGAAATGAGTGAAATTGAAAATTTTGCAGTGGTCTCTTAATTTCTTCCAGAGCTGTAGGTAGGCTGATTAACTGGTATCTCTCTTATAGAGCATAGTTCACCAGTGAACACAACAATGAGGAGGATGACATTTCCAAAACTCAGTCCATTTTTTGTTGTTTTTGAGATTGCCAGTGACCTACAGTCAGTCTTCAGGCAATCAAATGAAGAACTTTTCTGGATAATGCATCCTGTGGACTCAGGGCTGTAGCCTGGATTTTTAGAACACTGAGGTCAAAATTGTTGGCCCTTCCTAGCTGTGCCCTGTGATGAATCATGGTTATTGGAGCTGCAGAAACAATACTGAGGGCTTGACCTCGGTGTCCTCAATGGTAGGTAGGTATGGGCATGTGTGGACTGTTTTCTGGAAATTCGCTCTTCAGAACGTGGTGCACCTTATATAAAAATAATAATAATAAAAAAAACCATGCACACTGCACTGACTGATGAGGACATGAGCAGAAAGAAATGAAAGAAAGAAAGAAAAAAAAGAAAGAAAGAAAGAATTGTGCACTACATGACCCAACATTTCTCCAAAAAAGTTTTTCCCACTCAGAATGGCAATGGACGATGTAGAGCGTGACGGCTACAATAGGGCCTGTTTGGCGACATGCAGATCAGCGAACATGGCTGAATGACTAATTAGGACAAAGCACTGAGCGCACAGTTAAGCTTTAGAAGATACACTTGGGAAATGTTAAGAGTTTCTGTTGTTTCCCAATCCTGTCATCCCACACATACTGATATTTCAGTTTCTCAACTGCCCTTCAAATACAGGGAATTTCTCATTGAACGTAGGCACCGTTTCACATTCACCATGGAGTTTTTAACATCAAATAATTACAACTGAGTTTTTGCTAATTGATTTTAGGATGTTATGATTTTAGATTCATTGAAGAGCTAAACACTGGTTACAGAGCTGATGCAGCCTGTCAAATCAATCTTAAAATGGGCCAATTATGTATGTAATTGTAGAATCAACTAAAATGCCCACACAACACCAACTATTACTATTACAGGCAGTGGTCATTACTTTAAATTTTCCAGCATGTCATTTTAATTGGTTTCCTGCGATGAAGAGACCAAACAACAAGCACATCTACCAGAGCACTTTATACCAAACTTTTATGGAAAAACTGCATTTTGCAAAGGTATCTTCAACGAATTGGCACATATACTCAGATTTTTATAACTAGTTTAATAAGGGATTACTGTTAAGGAATTCAACGTTTAATCTTTTTTCAGCTAGTAATTTTTACTTATCAGGTGAGTCATGAACAGAAAAACAGGACAGAGAGAAAGTCACCATCACTCAGTCCCACGTTATTCCAAGCATCTGGCAGCTAAGTTCCCAGAGTTTCTGTGCCATTTCGTCATCTCTGGCAGCTTGGGAGCAGCTTGCTGGGGCACAGTCACTGTTAACAGAGCAAAGAACGTTGGCATAGTCCTGAAAAATACATTAAAAGGTAGAGCTCTCACACACATAGTGTGACACTAAGTGAGCGACAGCACAAGAACTAAACCTTACATCAAAATGAGTCAATGCAGTTCTTGAGATGAAGTATGATATCTTGGATATGCTGCCATGTTCCACTTGACTGTTATTCACACTTAAATCAGCATGATCAGTCTACCCTCTACAGGAGGGTTAGGGAACCCTTTTCCATGGCAGTAGAGTAGAGCACAGATTTACACCCAGACATCAGGTGAACTGAGATCCTACCCTAACAATAAAGATCGGAGGAAGAGCAAAGACCAGCACATTCTGTAAGCGCCAACTCAATAAAGTTTCCTTCTAATCTAAGGGTCCCAAAAAGGGGGGGGGGGGGTGACACAATTGACTTCATCTAAATTGTGGGGCCAAAATGATATGCTCTCATGGAGTCATTTAGCCTGTACTTTCTAGTGGCACCCCTGCATCCAACCATTTTCTAACCCCCATGGCCACAGGGGTCTGGAGGCTGTCCTGGAAGCTACATGTGCAAGGCAGGGAATAACCCAGGGTGAGATGCCAGGCCACTGCAGGCCATGCACACGCCATTCACACCTATGGATAATTCAGCACTTTTTTGGACTGTGCTGGTAAACTAGAGAACTTGCAGGGAACCCCATGATGACATGAGGAGAACATGCAAACAACACACAGAGCCATGGCAGAGACTCACAGTGCCAACCACTGCACCACTGTGTCACTGGAATGAAGTTTCCAACTGTTGTTTGAAAGGACAGAACAAACACAAAGAGTCGGCATCTATAGTTGCACCTGTAGTATCCTCCAGTTGTTTTCTCTAGCTCTGGGGCGACAGCACAGTAAATGGAGGTCTGGGCACCCTGCACGGATGTCTTCGTGAAGGGCTTGATCATCTTCACGCCCAGCTGTGCGGGAGCACTGAGGTGCCTCCACAGTTCCGACTGCACCACTCCAGGATGTAGCGCATATGTGGTCACACCGGTGCCTAAGAGCGCAACATTGTCAGCTCATCCAACTGTTAAGTTCTGCAGGCTTTCAGTGCCCCATAGTGATGAAGCTAGCAATGATATTCATTCATAATTCAAATATTGAAACAATGTCACGTTAAAAATGGAAGTGTGCTTTTCAATCTAAAATGACTGTTCGACTCTTCACTATGCAACAGTCATGTTTTCTGTTGATATGCTAGTTTCTCTTGCATTTATGTCTTTTTATAATTTACGGTTAGCCATTTCCATGCTTAAATACACTTTCCACCTTTTGAAATAAGGGAGTTACTCCTGTGATTACGCTCGCAGTGCAGGCTCCTGATATCTGTACTTACCTTCTAATTTCTTAGCCATAAGGCGTGTGCAGAGGATGTTGGCCAGCTTGCTCTGTCCGTACGCCTTTTTGGAGTCATAGCTCTTCTCGTGGTTGATGTCATCCAGTCTGATGGGGCCCCACGTGTGAGCCATGGATGACACATTGATGATTCTGGCTGGGGCAGACTTTTTTATCAGATCGATCAGAAGGTAGGTAAGCAGAAAGTGACCTGTAGGATTTGGATGGAACAGCCAGTCACATGAAATGAACTAAAAGACTCATGGAGATATTTACCTTAAACTACAATGAATAAACCCAAGAAAAGCACATTCATTGCAAAAAAAGTATGGGTTCAATCCAGCTTTTGCATTATTAAATATTTAAGATTAACTGAAGCCAGTGAAATTTCTTATACTGAAAAAATCTTTTCTTAATTCGGCATAAATGTAAAGAGAATCTTGGGGGGGGGTCATTTGTGTTACTTCTATGAACCTTACCTAAGTGGTTGACACCAAACTGCATCTCAAAACCATCTATAGTCTTGGAATACGGACACATCATAATTCCAGCATTGTTGATAAGGATGTCGACCTGTTTCTCTTCTGAAAGTGAAAGGTAAAAACAAAATTCTAGATTCTTGGTGAAGAGTTATTTCTCACTGACAAAAATAAATGTTGTTGAAAGGGAATGCCAAGATCTTGGAGATCATAGACATAACCATTTGCATTCAAAAACAAGGTATTTTGTGTCTAAACAAACCTGTATTCTTTTTTATAGGAACAGATAAAGAACAAGGCTGACTTACCTTTATTAATTAATTCTGCGAATTCCCTGATAGACTTGGTGTCAGACAGATCCAGTTTGCTAAGAACAATATCTTTAGATCCGGAGTCTTGCATAATCTCATCCATAGCCACCTCTCCTTTCTCCACGTCTCGACAGGCCATGATGACACGAGCACCTGTGATTGGCAGTATGTCACAAACTCACCAACAATATGAAGATACAGCCGGGGTTCCCACACTCACATGAAACAAATCACAGATTAGAACACAAACTTACCTCAAACCCAATGAATGAAGTACTGTATATATTTTTTAAAAAGTGACATTTTTAACAGCTTTATGAAGCGGTAACCCATATTCGACATGCTACAAATGGACTTGGTCTATGATCTGACACTATTGGTTTGTCATACATTGGGTAAATCTCAGTACAAGTTCTTGACCATACTTGGGTTCTCGTGTACCCGTTTTATGACATCTTCCATTGCCGAAGACCAATTCCAATTCTAAGAACAAAGAGGACAGGAAAAATCCCTGGATGTTGGTCTTGCTCCACCCCAAGTATGAAGGATACATCGATCACATTCTGGCCGAACGAGACCAATTCCATGATTCATTGCACCCTAGGTTTATTCTTGGGATGCAAGTTAACAAGACTGGTCTTGTCAAGACAACAAGTACAGTCTTTGCATTCTTAGTATAGAGATTCACCCAGATTTTCTGAAATTCTTAAAGGTGTCCAATTAAACATTTCCATATATGTACAGTAGAAAGGAAGACCATGGGGCTGCAGTTGTTTGACAAACAATCATGTGCTACTTAATGCTTATTTTCTTAGATACAAGCCTATTTGTGTGCAAAGCACACTGAAGGGGTTCTATATTTATCATAAAGAGATTCAGGGTTAAAAATGTAATACCTGAAATTTAACAAATGAGAAGTGTCATGCCCCACTTGATCGATCCTCCCGTGTGCCACACCCCCTCATCTACCCCATGTGGATTCCCCATGTTCCCCAGGTGTTTCTGATTGTTGTCATTAGTCCAATGTATTTAAGTCTGCGTTAGGTATGTTTTCCCCAGTCCGGTCATTGAAGTCTAATGTCATTGTGTTGTTCTGCTTGTTCTCCGTTCTCAGTTAAACCTTGTGTTTCCCGATCGCTTGAGTCTTGTCCTTGCTTCCCCAGTCCCGGCTCGGCAGATTGTGACAGAATGACCGGACTCTACAACCAAGTGCCTTGTCCTATAGAGGAAGAATACCTCAGCACAGTGGACGAGGTAATATACTGACTAAAACAGCCCGCCTGCCCTGCTATGTGTCAGGAGGAACTCCTCCCGATTCTGGATGCTGCCATCGCCCCGCCCGAACAGACGCCCGAAACTCGTCCGCCCTCCGCTTTGCTGCCAGCGCTAGCAACTCGCCTGTTTTTTGGAACATGCCTGGCTCTTAAAGGGGCCAGCTCCATTGGGGATGCCATCCCGTGGGTCCTCAAGCCCCAGCTGTGCCCCCCGTGGTTCCTGTGCCGGCGGCTGAAGCTCCACCCCTGGAGGTTCCTGTTCCTGATCCCCTGGACACTGCTCCCATGGGCCCAGTCCCCGAGGAGGTCCCTGATTGCCCGACCACCGCTCCTCCCTCCTTAGTGGAGTTGGAGGAGGAGCTTGAATGGGACCCCTCGGGGATTACCCTGTCATCTCCAGAGACTCCCACGTCACCATCGCCCCAGCATGGCAGATCCCGGCCGGGCCCCCGCCTCTCGGTCTCCCAGAAGGGGAAAGGATACCTGCGCTGGGGTCTGGCTTCGGCTCGGGGGTTGCCTTCGGTTCCGCCTGTGGCACCTCGTAGGCCAGCTGCAGTCCCGCCTCCAACGCCTCATCAGTCGCCTGCGGGTCCCCTGTCTCCGACTCATCGGTCGCCTACGCCTTGGCCGGCAGTGGCTGCTGTTCCCTCTTCCCCTCCACCAGTGTCCCCTTCATCTTCCTCCTTGCCCCCTTTGCCAGTCCCTCCACCTTCCTCCTCGCCCCCTTCAACATCCCCTTCTGCTCCTCTCTCACTCTCGCCGAGGGTCCCTTCGGCTCCGGCCTCACGGTCGCCTGCTGCCCCTGTGGCTTCCACCCCCCGCCTGCTGGGGTTCCCTCCAGCTCCCTGTTTCCCCCTGCCCTTTGCCTCCTTGCCCTCTACCTTTGTGCCCCCTGTGTCTGCTCCTCATCCTCCTGTTTCACCTTCATTCACTCCTGGCCCCTTCATTCCTCCCATTGGTGTTCCCCGTCTCCATTTTTGTTGCCCCTGTGCCTGTTTGCTTTCCCCGTTATTTGTCAGTTGCTGTCTGTGTTACTGCCTTTGTGTCTGTCTTGTTCCCAGTGCTCCATTGATGTTTTGCTTTTGTTGTCCAGGTCCTGTGTCCCCGGTCCCATTCCTCGCTGCCCTTAGGCGAGCCCAGAGTTTGTGCCATTTGCGTATGGGGGGGTTCTGTTATGCCATGCTTGTCCGATCCTCCCGTGTGCCACGCCCCCTCATCTACCCCGTGTGGATTCCCTGTGTTTACCAGCTGTTTCTTGTTGTGGTCATTAGTCCAATGTATTTAAGTCTGCGTTAGGTATGTTTTCCCCAGTCCGGTCACTGAAGTCTAAAGTCATTGTGTTGTTCTGCCTGTTCTTCGTTCTCAATTAAACCCTGTGTTTCCCGATCGCTTGAATCCTGTCCCTGCTTCCCTGGTTCCGGCTTGGCAGATCATGACAAGAAGGAGCATACATATTTTTATAAAAATTTTAATTGACAATGTGGGGAATTGTTTCAAACCATAAAAATTGATATTAGCAATACATTTATGAAATCAAAAAGAGCAGTATTCTTTAGTAAAATTAAACTATACACCCTGAGAACAGTCGTCTTTGGCTTTCATAATTTAACAACAGGCTAACGGAACGGAAACATCTCTGACCGTGGGGGTGTTCGGGTGTGTGTGTGTGGGGGGGGGGGGAGATTACCCATATCTAATGTGGCTCAACAATGAGAACATTCTGCTTGTTTCTATTCAACATACTGGCCCCCATCCAGAATGTGTTGTTCACAAGGAGTCAATGGAAAAAACAAAGATACACAGAAAAGATAACTGCAAGAGATCTTGGAGAAGAGAAACGTTACAAACCTACGTATCACTGAAATCCGTACCTCTCTTTGCGAGGTCCCTCGCAGTTTCCTTCCCAATGCCTGTATTGGCCCCTGTTATAATTACGGTTTTGCCATCAAGCCGAACAGGGGAGGACCAGGGACCACGGAACAGATTCCTGAGAAATTAAAAAGCAATAGGCTACGTCTAGAAATTAACTATTTTTTATTACTTTGGGCGGGAAAAACGCGATTCCAATTATAAGTTAACATAAGTTATGTTAAATATAGGTTACTGAACGTGGTTTCCGCGGTTCATATAATACTGGGCATGTTTATTTCGTCATTGATCTAGAATTAACCAAGTAAATCAGCCAAGACTGCAGCACCACCGCACAGTTGGTATATAACCAAGACCATACAAAACACCACCAAAACTAGTCCTCATTGTATAGATAAAATCAAACAAAATCAGGAAAAATGCTTAAGTTAGTGCGAGCGCCATTCTAGGTCGCCGTTTTACTGCGGTAGGTTGTTTCTCTCTTGTAGCACGGACCTTCTTACTTGACATATAAGCAGGGTTGTCCTGCGGATCGCACGTACCTTACGGACTGCATGATCTCAGGCACAGATGCTCCTAAAGCTCCCCACCCCGAATAATTCAGCGACCACTTCGGTCCCGGCTATTTCATGATACAAACCAACCTCCCTCTACGAGCCATCCAATCACAAAATGAGGGCAACTTACTTTTGTTCCGCAAATCTGATCGAGTACGTCGTGACAGCATTACGCAATTCAACATTCTCATTACTTTTTCGCACTATACGAATACAATAATCCCCCGCCTATCGCGGATGTTACGCTCCAGAAGACCCACCAGCGATAGGTGAAAATCAGCGATATAGAAAGACCATATAAATTAACATTTTTTTTTCATAGTTTAAGCCGTAAAATACCCCTCCCACACGTTTTAAACACATGTTAACTTATTAAAACACACTTTGTAAACACATATGCTATGTGGATGTCGGGCTAAGGATATGAGTAACATAATAATAATAATAATAATAATAATAATAATAATAATAATAAATAATAATATGTAATCACACACACACACACACATCTCTCTCTCTCTCTCTCTCTCTCTCTCTCTGTGTATACGTAATGGAATATTTAAAAATAAAAACACTTTAAGTTCAGTACGGGTTCACAAAAAGTTCGCTCACAACAATCGGACCACAAGCAAGGTATGCGATACGCAGGCAACTGTGATGCGTCGGGATAAAATGGGAGTTTTTCCTAGTAAGAATTCAATTGCAGATAATGACCATTCTGGATATCTGAAATATAATTGTGGATATCTGAAACTGAAAGCCCAATAGACATGAATGGTAAAAGTGACGTAATTTCTCCTAGGACAGGGGTGGGCAATCTTATCGCAAAGGGCCGGTGTGTTTGCGGGTTTTCGCTGCATGTGGTTGTCACGTAGACGGAAGGTACCGAGAGAGGGGGGGAGATGCCCAAAGGGCTTTAAAAGGGATACAGCTGATACATATGGCAGAGCTTCCTCCTGTACATGCTGAATGTATGTCAGATGGCCGCTCCCTGATTATAATCAGTCAAGAGAATAAACCGGTGATTTGCAACTTCTCCCCGTGTCAGCTGTGAATCTCTTCTCATCCACGGACCCGGTGGAGACGGCGTACTCCAACAATATCCAGTCTAGCGATTAAATGTTAAAACCGCCACTTATACTTTGTAAAGATTTAAAGATATCTTAAATGGAATTGTGACTAGGAGAAATAAAGTTTTAGATATTTTGAAATACATTTTCTACTAGTAAGAATGTAGGCCTAATTGTGGATCTCTGTAATTGCCATTCTGACTAGTAAGAATATAATTTTGACTAGGAGAAATGATATTATGTATATCTAAAATGTAATTATACGGATAGGAGTGTGACTTCATTAAATGTTAAAACGGCTTGCTCGATACCGGAGGAGGTAACGTCAGCCTCATTGCCATCTTATGTCCAACTTTTGCTAAAACCTTATTCTTTTGTTGTATGCCCTCAAAATTTAACCATTGGCCACGTTAAATTAATGTTCAACTAAACAATGAAATATTAGGAGTAGCCTAAGCTTTGCCTTTACGTAACAGTAGAGTATTCTTCGTTGATGATCAATTGTTTGCAATATTTGCTCCCTCCCCAGACACAACGGACATAAGGAAACTCTTTACAAAGAAGCGGAAAGTAAGTCAAAATTTCTCTACAGGACAGGGTTTGATGATGCCATGGCATGCTTGTTCATTATGTGAAATTATTAATGTTCTTATTTTTAAACATACAGGTGAGGGTCACTATTGCTCAGCACAGTGGCATGTTGTGTTACATCTAAAACTAAATAAAAAAAGAATACACAAAATTAAAAGTAAAATGCACCCATAAACTCATTGTTGGTGATAAAATGTGTCACATTTCATTATCTTAGGCATAGCAGTGGGTAGCAGTTAAAAACAGGCTCATGAATATGGACTAGTTGAATGAGGACTTATTGTTGAGTCTCTAAAATAGTCATTGAATTAAGTGACTTTTGTAGGTAAATTCTCAGTGCTAAATAAATAATTTGCATTTTGCTGTGTATCATTATAACCAGCCGTTTGCACTATTCATTTTGAATGATTACTGCAAATTAAGGGTTTAGTATGGGGCTATTTTTTTAGCAAAATTATTTTCAAATCTGTGTGGAGAGTTGCGGGACTATCTCAATCCGTGTGTGCGTAATCAGATTTGTTAATGTGTAAAAGAATCTATAAATCCTTATCGAGATATGCAAATATGTACAGGAATATTTAAATGTGTTTTCAGAATCTCTGTGGGCGTAATCAGATTTGTAAATGTGTAATAAAAATCTCAAAATATTCCATGAGATTAGCAAATTGATATTTGTGCATTTATAGACAAATTTATAAATGCGTGCATATATCTGTGAATGTGTAGACGAATCAGTAAATGAGTTCTGTAACGTCCCCGATTTATTGATACATTTGGCAGTAATTATCGAATTTGATTCTGACATACCTCTCCGTTCACTCTCTCGCCTTTAATAGTCCACATTTAATCTAGATTGTGACTGTGCATGACATCACTCTTTTTCTTGGAATTAAACTTTTGGTTACAGAAATCAAACTTGTGACAATGTTATGATCAATTCAACTCGACAATGTCATGCCTACTTTACCAGTATCACTTTAACAATAGCAACTAAGCCTTTTTTGAAATGTGTTGCTGGCATCAAATTCAAATTGAGCATATATTTGTCATCAAACAATAAAACTAATGGTTTCAACATTTGATATGTTATCTTTGTTCTATTTTCAATTGAATACTGGTGTATATGATCTGCAAATCATTGCATTCTGTTTCTCTTTACATTTTACAGAACTTCCCAACTTTTTTGGAAATGGGGTTGTATTGCTTTCCTTCTTAGAAATCATAAATTACAAAAAAAAACAATGTTTATACAACTCACAAAACATAATCAGACAGCTTGTGCTCACATGTTTCTCAATACCAAGAACGCAAAGATCATCCTTTTGGTCCTGGAAGACCAATCATGCTAACTTGGCTTCTAAGAAAGAACTTTGGGCCCAATGAATCATGGGATCAGTCTCTTTCGGCAAGGATGCAATCGATGTATCCTTGATATTTGGGGCGGGGCAAGAACAACATCCGGGGATTTTTAGTATCCTCTGTACTTCTGGGGTGAATCTCAATATGCATACTTGACCGTACTTTTGTTCTCGTGTACCAGTTCTACATCATCTTCCATTGCTGAAGACCAGTTCCGATACTAAGGACACAAGTGCAAAGGACGGTTAAAATTCCCGGATGTTGGTCTTGCTCTGCCCCAAATATCAAAGATACATCGATTGCATCCTTACCGAATGAGACCAGTCCCGTGATTTACTGCGCCCCAAGTTCGGACTTGGAAGGCACGTTAACAAGACGGGTCTTGACAAGACCACAAGTACAGTCTTTTTGTTCTTGGTAATGAGATTCACCCCTGTTCTTGAGTATTGGAACTGGTCTTTAGCAATGGAAGATGACATAAAACAGGTACATGAGAACACAAGTACAGTCATATACGCATTCTGAGAAACACCGCAGCTCTGTGTGAATGATTGCGTAAGTGTGAGTGGGTGTGTCAATGTCACTTCCAGTTTGTGGAGCTTGAACCACAATGGTCTGTGTATCCTGTGTTTTCTCCTTCTCATGGATTATCTTCAGTCCCAGCCCATTTCCTCACTCCTGCTGGTGATTCCACTACCACCTGATCTCCTCTCTTGCTGATGATTCTATGAGGTGTTGTCTTGAATGTTGTTGAGAACTTGTCACCCTTGTCCTGTCTCAAGAGTACAATGTCACCAACAGTGGCTTCTGACTGCTGTGCTCCTCTGTACAAATCTACATACACTGCACTCTTAACCTTTTACTCTGTGTCATGATCACACAGTTCCTCATCATTGTGTAATTTAATGAATTCCTGCAATATTCCTCTCACCTTCCGGTTGAACTACATCTTGGCAGGGGTTTTACTTGTTGTGACGTAATTGATCCTTCTAACCACAGTCACATACTTTCTCAATTCCCTTTTCCAATCCAGTCCATCTGATTGGACAATCCTGATTCTCTTCAACAGTGATGCATTTTGACGCTCCATTTCTTCATTGGCTTGTGCACATTTCGGTGTGGTTTTCGCATGTGTGATCCCATTGTCTGTACTGTTCAGACTTAAAATGAAGACCATTATCATGTCAGATTTACAAGTGACTGGCAGTAAATGCCTACTGAAGATCAACTGCAGAGTATCCATAACCCGCTTAGTTGTGGTGGTGGTGATGATGTCGTATTCATATGAGCAACTAAAGGAGTCTACTACCGCAAAAATGGAGTGATTAGGTGGTATAGGTCCAAGTACTGTATGTCTATGACATCATCTCACCAGGGTCCATCAGGTACTGGTTTGGGTTTCAGCAGTTCTGGTGGGGCTGGTCTTGCTACTATTTGGCAGCCATGGCAAACCTTGCAATATCTCTCGGCTGCTCTACCCATACCAGGCCAACACACCTTCATCCTTTGATGTTGCTTCATTCCCACTATGCCTAGATGTTCCTCATGTAGTACTGCAAGTGCTCGTGTTCTTAGGGCCTGGGGAGGCACTATACACATGTGCCTCGGAGAACCAGGTATCCTACTGTACATAGCTCATTTGCAACAATCACATTCTGTTTACATTTCTCACAATGTCCATTTGCCATTGCCCCACGTACCTCGCATAGGTCTGGGTCAGTAACTGATGCCTCTTCCATCTCTCTGGTGGTCAGTGTTTTCGGCATTGCGACTGTTAACACTTTAACATGTACAAAATGAGCACATTAGCATGTCAGTTTTGAGCATATTCTGGTGTTTGTAACTGCAATCTCATTCTTTCAGTCACTACCCAGAGCTCGTGACCATATGTGAGGGTAGGAATGTAGATCAACCAGTAAATCGATAACTTTGCCTTCCAGCTAAGCTCTCTTTCCCCCTCCCCCCAGTTTGGCAAATTTTATCTCAAATATTTCCAAATACTGAAATAGTGTCGTTTTTCAAAATACTGTATACCTCAGTATAATGTCTGGACAGTATGCAAAATGACGGCTTATGGTTTATGTATTATAAAAAGCGCAG